TGTAGTATAGCTTATGGTGAAAAAGAATATGAAAACGATTACATGTATATTCACGTATCACTGAAGCATTGTGCTGTGCACCTGTACACCAGAAACTGACACAACACTGCAAACTGACTATATTTCAATAAAAAGTTAAAAATTTTTAAAAATTTTAAAAATAAAGTTTTACCTATTTCTGTATTTGACAGTCATAAAAGCCAACCAAATCACCAAGAGAGGATTAAGACAATGTACTCTGCTAGGGCAGCGATCTGGTCAATGTTTTAGAGTATTTCACATGAAAAAAAAAAAGCGACAAAGGTCGCCTGGAAAGTTACCAGCCTGACCTGGAAAGCACCTTCGTTAGGTACTTCACATTCTGCCACCAGTAAAGCGAAAGTCCAGGTCTGGTACCTAAAAGGAGCAAAGGGGAGGTCTGTGCGTCCAGTGTTGCTGGGAAGGCTGGGGACAGGCTGTGCGATGCGGGTCCTCAGCACACACTGGGCCAGTCAGCCTTTCACAGGAAGCTCGTCCCAAGCGATGATTCAAAACGGATGTTTATTTAGCTGCTTGCCATATGCCCGGAGTTTGCATTCAAGAACTCTTCCGGTGTTTACGATGGAAAAATAGGAACTGTGAGAAAGCCGGCAATTTGTTATCCATCCCGTTTTCCACCTGAGACCTAGCGTTGCTTTCAGAATGGCTGCTGGATGCTGGTCCGAAGGGAACAGAATTTTTTTTTTTTAATTTAAGTATAGTCTGTTTACAATGCTGTGTTAATTTCGTGCATAGCATGGTGATTCAGTTATACATATATATATACATTTTTTTTTCATTACAGGTTATTACAAGCCACTGAGTATAGTTCCCTGTGCTACACAGTAGGACCTTGTGGTTTATCTGTTTTGTAGATAGTAGTTAGTATCTGCAAATCCCGAACTCCCAAATTATCCCCCCGCCCTCCGCTTTCCCCGGGGTAACCATAAATTTGTTTTCTATGTCTGTGAGTCAGTTTCTGTTTTGTAAATAAGTTCATTTGTGTCATTTTAAAATATTCCACATATAAGTGATACCATATGGTATTTTTTTTTTCCTCTTTCTGGCTTCACTTAGTATGACAATCTCCAGGTTGCTGCAAATGGCATTATTTTATTCTTTTTTATGAGTAGTGTTCCATTGTGTATATATACCACATCTTCTTTATTTATTCATCTGTTGATGGATATTTGGGTTGTTTCCATGTCTTGGCTATTGTAAATAGTGCTGCTATGAACACTGGGGTGCATGTATCTTTCGAGTTAGAGTTTTCTCTGGATACGTGCCCAGGAGTGGGATTGCTGGATCACACGGTAAGTCTATTTTTAGTTTTTTAAGGAATCTCCATACTGTTTTCCATAATGGCTGCACCAAACTACATTCCCACCAACAGTGCTGGGGGGTTCCAAAGGGAACAGAATTTGTAACAGAACTTTAGAGAAAACCAGCTTTGTGTCACAGATCAGTCAAACCATCCCAGTGCCGAAGAGCAATGACCAAATCAGCACCCCCAACTTAAATGAGTGGGAAGCCTGACCCTTGTGTTTAAATGTACCCTTGAATGTCCACAGATACCCTTATTCATCTTGACTTTAATATTTTCCCAAAGAGGATTCTGGCTGAAACAATGATTTTTTTCCCTTAAATTGAGATTTAATTCACATTAACAAAATTCACCCCTTTAAAGTGAATATTCACTTTTAAGGTGAATTCAAGTATAATTCAGTGAGTTCTGGTATATTCACAAGGCTATGCAGCCACCACCACATTCTAACTCCAGAACACTTCATCACCCTGTAAAGAAACCCTGGTCCTTTAAGCCACTGCCCCTTAATCCGCTCAGCACACCTTTGCTCCCCACTCAGTCACGAGTAACCAGTTGTCTCTACAGATCCCCCTATTCTGGACATTTCATACAAATGGAATCATACTATCTGTGGACTGTTGGGACTGGCTTCTCTCTTAGAATGTTTTCAAGGTTCATCCATATTGTAGCCTCTTTTCTATCACTGAGTAACATTCTACTCTATGGACGCACCAATTTTGTTTAGCCATCCATCAGCTGTTGGACACTTGGGAGGTTTCCACTTTTTGGCTACTGGGAATAATGCTGCTACGGACATCTGTATACAGGTTTTTTGTGTGGACATATGCTTTCATTTCTTTGGGTTATGTACCTAGGGGCGGAATTGCTGAGTCACATGGTAACACTGTGTAACCATCGGAGGGGCTGCCAAACTGTCGTCCACAGTGGCTGCTCCGTTTTTTACCATTCCATCAGCAGTGTATGAGGGTTCTGGTTTCTCCATCTCCTTGCCAGTATTTGTTTTTTTAATAGTGTTATTTTTCTTGTTATTG